CCGCCCTTCTTCACTTGATTGCACGGCAAGGAACACGATGGAGACGGAGGGCGAGCTGCAGATCCGTGCGGTGGCCAAGAGGGAGGCGGAGGATGTCTGGGGAGGCAGCCAGGAGGACCGTGCCTCTCAAGCCTCGACTGCGCTGCCGGCACCGGATCGCCAGAAGCAGCAGCAGTGGGAGCAGCCAAACAAGTGGCAAAAGCCCGGCTACAAGGGGCGTTTTGGAAAGGGTCCGGAGACAGGCTCCTGGTGGAAAAAGGACCAGGCGGCGACCAGGAGCAGAACCTTGGTCAGGAGACCGTGGAGCTGATCAAGGCCCTCACCAAAATGTGCATCCGCCACGAGGAGGAGTTGGGCAGGCTCCGGACGGAGACGAACCATGTGCTTCTGCGATGTGGTCGGGGAGATGAGTGTCGTCCCGGCTATGAAGAGGGCCTCCAACAAGTGGCAGGAGGGCTATGCGGCCGGCAAGGTGACCTCCTCCCTACGGGTGGTCCTTTTCCAAGGACTCATGCAGATGTTCCAGGCGGAGCTGCAGAAGGTGCTGGAGGACGAGGACCTGCGGAGCCGCCTCCTACGGGTGGGGTGGATTTCGGAGGGTGCCACGGCACTCTCGCCGGTCTGGCATTAGTATCGGTGGGATCCAGAGAGCAAGACCTCTGTGAAGGCCGACCGTCCCCCCTTGACGCAGGACCAGGTCCAGGAGTGCGTGGCGACTCTGCTCAGGACGACTTGCCTGCCGGGTGTGCTCCTTCGCTTTCGGTCTACCCGGCCTCTGGGCACACAGACACAGAGCGAAGTCATCCCGTTTTTGGTCTCGGTGGGGCTTCGAGGCCAGCATGCTCAGGAGGCGCACACAGCGCTGACACTTCTGTCAGACAACGGTGCGGCCAAGCTTCTGGGGATGCGCTTTCGCCCCGAGCGAATGGCGAAATCGGCCATGGGCAAGGCCGTGGAGGAAGCCTACCTCCAGACACCCTTCACGGATTGGACACGCCGATCGTCCACGTGGAACGCGCCAGCAGCAGCGCCGGCACCGGAGGGCAGCAGCTAGAACAGGAGTAACAGGAGGGCGTAGGGGGCCCTGCTATAAGGCCAGGCACTAGGACTGTTGCTCTCAGGTGTCATGCTCAGTTGAATGCCCGAAACCTCCTACCAGCCAAACTTCGCAATCCACACTCAGTTTGCTACCTCAATGCTTCTGTGCAGGCCTTTTGTAGGTTGGGTTTCCTGGCTGCGGACAGCGAGCTTTGCTATGGACAGGCCGCAACTGCCATGAAAGTCCTCATGCATTCTGGTGCTTGTTACTTACCGAGTTGTCTTGCCTGGTTGCCCCTGCTACGAGGGTGGGCCAATCTTTCCACGCAACACGACTGTAGTGAGTTCATGGCGCATCTTTTGTCATGTGCGCTACCCCCAGCTTATGTGGGCTCTTGGCAGTCTCGGCTTGCAATGCCCCACCGTGTTGAAGAGGCTGGGGACCTGTCTACGCCGATCCTCCTCGACATGCAGACGGGGACTCTGCAAGACCTGGTAGATGGATGGACTCACCAGGTAGCCATACATGCCCTCCATAGTCATAATGGCATCGTTCTGCTTCAGCTCAAACGCTATGGGTTTGCGCAAGGGAGTGCTTTCAAAACTGTAGAGCCTGTGCACATTCAACCTGGTGAAATCATCGTCCTTCCTCAATTTGCCTCACAAGAAGGCCTGGAGCTGCAACTTTTGCGATTCCGCGTAGGGTATGTAATATTCCATCAGGGCCAGACCCCCTACTCGGGACACTACCAAGTTGCATTAAGTGAGAAACGCGGACAAGCCGCGACAGCTCCCTGGCAGTTTGCCATCTGCAACGACGGTTGCGTGCCCAGACGCGCAGGGCCCGCTGACTTGCAGATCCTAATGGCTAATTGCTATTTGGTTGGGTTAGTTGGGGTTAGCCCTGATGACCCATAGCCTCTCTGCGCATCTGTTAACGTACCGTCGACATCGACCACATCTCAGCCTGAGCCGTGCAAACACTTTTGCCTGCAGTATCTTTGTTTCATTCCGTTCAATTGGATCAACGTTGTCTGTGTGATGCCGCGCTACCGTGCAACAGCTGGCTCGAAGCTCTTGGGCTGTTGCCTTCGGGTCCTGTGTCAGCCCACTCAGTATGCTGCACTCGTCGGTCTTGAGCCTGTCATGTGCTGCTCCAGCGCTGCTTTTGTCTCAGTGCCAGGTAGCACCCCCTCCCTAACCCCAGTATGCCTAGTCAGGTGCCACTACCGGCACACATGTCTGAAGTGGCACTGGAGGAAAAGCTGCTCCTCAATGCATATCGCCAGTTGCTAAGTGCGTCGGCCGAGGATGCATGCCCGCCGGCGCTATCCCTCGCGTCCAGAAATGACCTGATTTCTCATGCGAGCAAGCACTTGAGGGACGATGATTGGGCGACTTTCCTGGCATATGCTGATGAGCTGGCCAGTCGTTTCTGCAGTCATGTCATTGTTGACTTCCCGCCCTCCCTGCCGTGTGACACCCTGACAACCATGGCGGAACAACGGGCACAGGAACACCTGCTAGAGGGCAGAGGTTCATTGTGGGTCGCTGTCCGGGATGTTATTGTGGCCCTGACCTTCGTTCAGGACAAGAGAGCGTTTGCGGATGGATTCAGCTTTGCGCTAGGTGCTTACTGCAAAGGCGGGGCTGTTGGACTTTGCAAAAATACGCGCCGGCATGGCAACGTCTGTAGATTGCTGAATCGAGTTGTGCAAGCCGTGTCTCCTGGCATGACGTGGACGACCGTTACAGTCTGCCTCAACAACAGGGTCTCGGTTCACACTGACAGATGGAATGACCCAGCGCCCAGTCTCATCATTGGGTTCTCGCACTTTGAGCGGGGTGAGCTCTGGGTGCAGCAGCCAGAAGGGGAGTGTCTCCTCACCAGTGGCAATGACGTCCTACGTGGTGAGCTCAACCCAGTGAGTGCGTCTGCAGTGCTGTTTTGCGGTCAGGCAATGCCACACTCCAACATGCCGTGGCACTCCGGAGACCGCTTTGTAGTCATTGCGTACACGGCGGGCCATCATGCAAGCCTGTCCCCTTGCGATAAAAGCCTGCTCTTTGACTTTGGTTTTGCTGTTCCATAGATTTAGGGTGGCGCTACCCGCTACCGGTGTGAGGGACACACGAGTCTGCTCTAGAACGCTGCGGCGTGGGGAGCCTGCATCTGCCTAAAATAGTGCTTGCACTGGCGTGCGATGGTCATCGGTGCCATCTCTGCATTGCATCCTTCAGCATGGTAGGTGCCAAGTATCAGCCTTGACTCAGGTCTTTTCGATATGAGCGGTGGACGTAGGCCTGCTTTGCCAGAACGTCTTGCCTGCACACTCCACGTTTGCATTCGTCTTGCGACTGTCAGCTGTTATTGCAGGGAGTCTACCGACTCGAACTTGGCGGCTGCGGCCGACTCTGCTATGTCAAGGGCGACCACTTTGGCAAATGCAGCACCTATGCTGATGCCTTCCTCTCAGGCCCAACCTGTGGTGGGGATCACGGCTAGCCCGGCAACTGGTGCCACTGGTGCCAATGGTGCCAATGCCAATGTCAATGCGGCGGGCGCCCTCTATGGAGTGGTGATCACGGTGGATGGACACTCCAGTGAGCCAATTTGGGTGCCCTGCTGCAATAACAATTGTCTTTTCAATTTTCGGGCTTACGGACACAGACATTGCTGCTCGGATTGCCGATTCTCGGATGCATTTCGCCACACCCGACGGTGTCTACATGAGCAGCGCATATATGCTCGCCGAGAGCGCTTGGAACAGGAGCGCCAGGAAGCTGCGCGGGGACCACAGGGAGTTTGCTGCACCAGGGAGTGTGGCAGGGTTACCTTTGGCACACACATCCATTGCTGCTCCACATGTCGGCAAACTGGTGGTCAGGTGCACACTCGTCGGTGCCACAGCATCAACCCTCCTGCTATGGCTCCTGGCTCAGTGCCGTTTGTGCCTGTGCCGGCTATGACACCTTCCTCGTTTCCTTCGACTTCTGGTACCACTGGAGCCCCAGCTTTTTCTGCGAGCGGCTCGGGATCCTCGACAGATGTTCCAACTGCGGGCCCTTTGCTGGTGGAAGAGAATCAGGCAATCGAAGAGGAGGAAGTTGAAGCCGTCGTTGATCCTCTTGATGGCATGGACTGAATGTTTGCCGCTGCGGCTATGAGTGTAGGGTGGTGCGATGAATATTCGCCGGGCCGTACGTGCCTGTCCTCGCTGCGGATCTTGGACGATTCGGCGCATCGAGTGAGTGAGTGACGACTAGTACTACTACTATCACTACTGCTACTATCTACTATCTACTACTACTACTACTACTACTACTACTACTACTACTACTACTACTTAGTTAGCCAATAGGAGAACTTTAAACTTCTTGGCCTTATATATTTGGTTTATCCTAAAAAGTTTGAACTTTTTTGGGCCTGGTTGTTGAAGAAGAGAGACTACGAGTACTAGCACTACTACTACTACTACTACGACTACTGCTACTACTACTACTACTACTACTACTACTACTACCACTACTACTACTACGACGACGACGACTACTATTACTGCTACTACTACGACCACTACTCCTACCCGCTGCCGCTACCGCTACTGCTGCTGCTAATGCTGCTGCTGCTGCTGCGGCTGCTGCTGCTGCTACTGCTACTCCTGCTCGCACTGCCACTACTGCTGCTCCACTACTGCTACTGCTACTACTACTACTACTACTACTACTACTACTGCTACGACTACGACTACTGCCACGACCACTGCCACTCGGATGTGACAGTAGCCACAAAAATCTGGCTAGTGAAGCAAGACCATGGATATCAGTCGTTGCGCTTTCGCGGTACTGCTGCTAGTAGTATAACTGTTATGATGACAGTAGTTGTTTCGGCAGTTGAGACCTGTCGTCCCTCAGTGTGGCAGCACACTTACACAAGCCGTGAAAGTTTTTCTGCAGAACAGGAGCTGGACACACGGTGCTGCTCCGAAGCGATAGGCTCCGAAGTGGAACTTGGTTTCGACCGGTTTCTTGTCCGTGCCTGTGATCATCAATCATTTCACAATGCCGCATCCGTTGCCGTTCAAGATTGTGCACACTACAAAGAGCGAAATTTTCAAGCCCCACCAGCTCACTCCGCAAAACTGACGGCCCCTACATCAAAGAGGCCATGTTCGTCCCAGGTGCCCAGAACAGATTGAAAGCAGGAGTGTGGAGTTTCCAGCGGAAGAAGCCTCCATTGATGAAAATCTAAAAGCCTGGGCATGACCGGACGAGGGACGCAGACTTTGAAGCCCAGGAGCCTTGAAGTACAAATCTCAATCCCTGAAAGCCGAGACCCCTAGCAAGATCATGAATCTGAGTGGCATCTTCTAGTCTGTCGGGCTCTCCTTCAGGAGACCGCTTTGCAGCATACTAAGTTCACCCCTTGAAACGCAAACTTCCAAGACATCTACAGCCACGGGCCTGGAGGCATGTCGTCACTTGCGGCTGCACTGCCGAAGGCCAGTGCTCCCTGCCCGGCTGCGGGCCGACGGGGCGCGAGCCGCCTGGCCAGCTAGGGTTGGGAGTTTCGCTTTGGAGGAGTTGGGGTTAGGTTTGGTTTTTGATTCGAGTTTGAGTGGAATTGCGTCCTTGTCCAAGACACTGACACGTGCCGGGAAACTAAAATAGGCCTCACGCTGTTTCCCTCAAGTTCAGCCGTCCTTTGAGGCACGAAAATTTTCAATTCAAATCAGATTCCAGGCCTCTTGAGCCGCGACTCTTCTCTCCTCCCCTGTTCAAGAAACCTGCGGTCATGGTTTCACTCCTACCGATTGCTGCCAGCTTCAGCTTGAGGGAAGGTAGCTTTGTACAAGAGCCTGGGGTCTACATCGGCTTCAAAATCTTCGATGGCAGAGGGGTTTTTGTAGCAGCGACGAATGGAATCCAAGGAGTTGGCATCCTTGAAAGGTCGCGCATTGGGCCCATAGGCCCTCCTTCAGTTCGAAACCAGGGCTCCCAAGTTAAACCTAAGGGGTTGCAGAAGAAGCCGAATTCACCGACTAGAGCCACCTGTGAAATTCTGTCGGTCACACACACACACACATATATATATATATATGTATGTATGTATGTATGTATGTATGTACGTATGTATGTATGTACACACTTTGACTCAGTCCAAGCTCCTGACAGGGCCACGGCTGTAGAGATAGGATCACATATCCCATCTCCCGCTTCCGGATGCGGACTGTAAACCAGGGTCCTCACTCGGCTCGGCTTTGCTGCTACCGGCAAGAATGATCATTCAGGTTTTGAGCTTTTGCAGATTTCCCTCTGAGCATGTCAACAAACTCGTGCTGGATCCCTGTTGAGCGAGTGCCGGAACGTGCTGCGATTCAATCCAGAACCGAGGGAATTTCACCAAGAAACGAAAGTGTAGCCTTCCGTCCTTCCGTTCGGGGTACGCACGGCTCGGAAGACCCTCCCCGTGTTCAGAAGCAGAGGGGTCTGCTCAGGTACATCGCTGTTGCTGCCGGTCAGTTCCATACGCTGCTCCTTTGTGCGGATGGTAATGTCCTGATCCGAGGTTCCTTGACCGGAATCTACTGCACCGCAGGATCTCTCCATAAAAACTCAGGAAAGGCACCCGATTCTGCTCCCTGCCTGGTTGACTGAGAACTCGTAAGACCTCTCCAAGCTGAGATGCAGGTGAGCTACAAGATGCTACAAGTGTGGACCAAGGTAGTATAGGTCAGGTTCTCTCGAAGCATCCCCAACCGTAGAATCCATCCACCTAAGAAAACAGCCATCAACAAAGAGTACCTCCCAAAAGGCCTGAGAAGGCGTCCCAAGGCCCATCAGAAAAAGGGAAAAATGGGAAAGGCTTCTCCAGACCCCAACGGCCATTCTCGGGTGGAAACCTAGGCTCTCATCAAAATCTGGGAAGGTGAGTTCAGGAGCATCGGGGAGCCTTGAGTTTAACAGCCTCGGATGTATGGTATTATGCTATGGCTGCTCAGTGTCTTAAGATCGGGGCATAGACCCTTGCTGCAGGAATCAGCTGCGTCGCAGCAACCCAGACTTGACCTTGAGAGTTGCGATGCCGTTCACCCCATACAGGTAAAGTCAGTTCGATGCTTGCAGAAAGGAGTTGAGTACGAAACTTCAAGCTGAAAGCAGCACTGCAAAAAACTGAACTCCGACACTGACCAAATACACGTGACATGACTCGAGGCTTAAACAACTTCGGCCAGTGTGGAGCACCTGCATTGAAAGCCGTTGCCGCTGAGATCAATCAAATATGCGAGGCAGCGTAGCATCTTCACCAAAGCTTCCAAGGAGTTGCCTCAAAGTCGGACCCGAAACTACTCTGTGACTGAGAGACTACTACTTATGTAGTTTCCACGTACTGGTCGCCACTGGCAGATGGTCTTCAGGCTTGGCAAGGCATTAAAGCGCATGAGAGATGCAATCTTTGATTGTATTCCATTCCTATCATCAATTGGGCTCATCAGGTTGGAAGAACGGCACACAGCACTGCACAACCGACAATGGAGCAAAGCTGTAGCATGCAGGGCTGTGTGGGTGTGTGTCTGTCTGTCTCTGTCTGTGTCTGTGTCTGTGTCTGTGTCTGTCTGTGTCTGTGTCTGTGTCTGTGTGTCTGTGTCTGTGTGTCTGTGTCTCTCTGTGTGTGTGTGTGTGTGGGTGTGTGGGTGTGTGGGTGTGTGGGTGTGTGGGTGTGTGGGTGTGTGGGTG